TCAACGCTTCAACACAGAAGATTCCCATCCCGTAAAGGTTCCAGCTGATCCGAATGTGATTTTGAAAATTGATAAGAGCGAATAAACCTGCGATTTCCCATATAGAGCTGCAGTCGGAGCATTGATCTTTGCTCACAGTTTCAAGGCCAAATATCTCATATGAAATACGAGAAATTAGTAAATATATGGAAAAACCCGCGAAAAGCCATATTGTAGCTGTTAGGCGAATTGTTAATATCCCTGCGGACACAGATATTGGTATGATGCATGATTCTCAACCGTCAAACTTAATTGGTTACACGGATGCAGACTTTGCACGTGATACTGACAGTAGATCAACATCAGGCTATATATTTTTGTATAACACAGGACCAATCACTTGGTTTTCGAGGAAGAAACAGACTGATGCATTGTCAACCACAGAAACCGAGTTCGTTGCATACTGCGAGGGAACTAAGGAGGCGTTGTGGCTAAGACAACTGTCAAACGACATCGATAGACTGCATGATAAGATCACATCGATAACGGTAGACAATCAAAGTGAAATTCGGAGAATTAATACAGCAGTATTCCACAACAGAACTAAACACATAGATATTAAATATAACTTTATTCGAAATGCCTGCCATAAAGAAATCGTAAAGATCGATGTGGTCTCAGTGCACAAAAATTGGCTGATATTTTTACAAAGCCACTAACTCAAGATAGATCTAAAAAGAAATTATAACGGAAATAGGATTAAAGCAGCATTGAGAATAAATTACGAGTTGGAGTGTTAGAATGTATGCGTGATATTTAGTACCGAGTGCTTGTGTTTATATACATATACAGTAGAGCACAGTAAATCGCCGAATACCACCGAATAACAGCGAATAGCACAGATTAGCACTGCTTAGGACAGCATCGCTCCGAATAGCACCGCCATCGTAGTAGATTACAGCAGAACGCAACAGAGCGCAGCAGAGATCAGCAGAGCATAGTAAATCGCCGAATACCACCGAATAGTAGCGAATAGCAGATTAGCACTGCTTCGGGCAGAACCGCATCGAATAGCTTAGCCACCATAACAAAGCATAACAGAGCACAGTGAATCGCAGAATATCACCGAATAACAGCGAATACCACAGATTACCTGAACTGACCAGGAGGGAGGAGAGGTGTACCCCTACGTGGCGCGTTCCCGGGTTGCGGATAGGGGAAGCCCAAGGCCCACCGATGTCCACAATGGGCATCGGTGGTGCCGACGGTCGGAGCATAATGCTCCCGCGGACAAAACGCGGTATGGATGAGTGTGCAACTGCGCACGCGCGTGGGCTGCGGTCGGGGGCCTCGTGGATATTCCCCATAGACTATCCAAGGAGGGAGTAGTAGTAACACTCCGACCGGGGTGATGCCGGGATGTCAATACCTGACCTCTGTGGAAGTAATAAGACCGACATGTATTGCACCAATCGCATGTTCGGCAAAAAGCCCGTGAAACCGCATGTTTAACATGGGAGGACCGCTCTCGGTGCCAATATGAGGGTTGAAGCGTGGTCCCCTGAAACTGAAAATTGGGCTGATGAACTTGAACCCTCGAAAGAGCAACCCGCTGGAAAACCACGGCAAACGAAGAGGTCAAGGGATTTCAAGAAGGCAGGAAAACCTGCTGAATAGAAACCGCAGGTGATAACTGATCCCGCCGAGGTCACGCCCCTTGTTGTGAAAGCCAGCAAGGAAACACTGAGGGATGAGCCCTTGTGGCAAGAGGGCCCATACACTTGGACCCAATCGATTCAACGGATTTATTCGCAGAACTTGGACTTTTCCACGTTCTCCCTCTTATGTGAACGTTTTTATGGTGACCTGGAGGTTGAGAACCCTCGCCTCCGCCGGGAGGTACCATTTTGCGCCTTTCAGCACGTATACGCCGGAGTGCTGAATGCAACGATCATCGATCATGTCCGTACGGTAAATGCTGAGGACAGATACGCAGATGAAGAATCGCCATTGAACCTTATTCCGGAGGATATGGTTATCCCAGCACCAATCGCGGAGTACTGTAAATTGACTGCAAGTACTACTACACCACAAGGAGATATGGTAAAAGCCAATGTGCCTGATGTTGGAATACCAACAGTAAGTGTTCCAACTGTTGCGACTGATGGAGCACGGTTGGCTCAGGATGCCGTACCGTCTGAGAGCTTTGACAGGATTACCGCTCAAGATCATAATAAATATAAGTGTTTATATCACCGCATGTGACTTCCAGACTCGTGGAAGAGACGAGAACTCAGAATGAGACACGACATTTCAATACGGAGTGGAATCCCCTCCCGAACGGTGCTTATCCCGTTAGAACTATCCCAACGATGAACCTATTAGGTTATAGATCCAGCGTTGAACGTCTAAACGCCGAGGGTTTGCAGGCTATTTTTGAATGTGACTTCCCAGATAGCAACGATATGGCGGGCAGGTTGCGCTGGTATCCCGAACTAGTGGCGCGCGTTTCTGCTAATATGCAGAGGCTTGGAGACCGATATAAAATGGTAATAGGAAGACCAACTCATGGTACCAACTCTGCCGCCGTCGGATGGAATGTTCGGATGGGATCGACCTGGTCAGTCGAATTCCCGTACCCCGAGCGCTGTCTAGCCTGAGGTTTAGGGTTAGGAACTATCTCGGATCCGGTGTCGCCCTTGCGATGAGGATGACGTTAAACCTTTTGCTTCGACTATGGTGCGGGCCTATCCCGTAACATCCATTCTTATAATAGAATCACTTGGTGCCGATACGGTGGCCAAGAAGAGAGCCAAAAGGAAGGCGGACGACTCCGAGGAGGAGTTGGGCCCCCTCGCGATCCGGGACGTCTGGTCTAAGAGATCTCTCCCCCGGGTCGATGACCTTGTGGAGGAGTACCGGGCCCTGACTGCCCCGGATCTGGGGACGGAAATCATGGCGGGGTTGTGGTCGGTGGAGGGGGTCGCGGACAATAGCAGGAATTTGTCCGGCCCATTCGTCCGTCGTCTGCGGGTCGCGGCCAGGCGCGTCGAGGCGGGACCAGGGAGCTGCAGATGCGGCTCTGCCAAAGCCTCGACGGCGTTGGCCGAGGCCAACGAGCGGGTGCGCCTGCAGGCGGCTGAAATAGCCGTCCTGATGGATGATTTCCTGAATCGTGGTCATGAGCTTTATATGGACAACTACTACAATTCAGTTGAGCTGGCGAAAGATCTCACGAGTAAGTCAACATATGTATGCGGCGCGTTAAGATTCGACCGAAAGGGAAATCGAAAAAATTTGGTAGAAAAGAAACTGAATCGAGGAGACTCTGAATGGCTGAGATCAGGATCCATTGTAGTCAACAAATGGAAAGATAAGCGGGATGTGCTGACTATATCCAACATGCATAAATGCGAAATGGTTCAAGTGAAGAACAAAAATGGAAAAACTTCGACTAAACCAGATATAATCAGAGATTATACTTTGGGAATGGCAGATGTTGGTCGCTCTGACCAACGTATGTCGTACTACTCATTCCTCAGGAAAACCGTCCGTTGGTACAAGAAAATTGCACTACACTACTTCGAAATCTTCCTGCAGAATGCATACATGTTCTATAACCAAAGAAATCGAGGGAATAAAAAGATGAAGATGCTTCAATTTAGGGAATCAGTTATTATGCATTTACTTGATGTCGATGGCAGGAGAAAGCAGCAATTATAGAAATACAACTGATTTTCATTACTTAGAACATCTTCCTCCCACAGAAAAAAAGGGCAAGCCTATAAAGCCATGTCGAATGTGTACAAAGGAAAAAACGTAAGGAGACTAGGTATTTTTGTCCAGTGTGCCTCAACAACCCAGCACTTTGCGTTCATCCTTGTCTTAAAGTTTACCATACACAACGACAACAATAAAAATATTTTTTAATTTTAGTAATACATTCATATATATATGTAATTATGATGTTATGATCTAATCGTCTAAGTTATAATTTTAATAGTTTTAATAACAATTTTAATAATAAAATTTGATAATTAATATGTTCTCTACACTATATACATTTTTCATTCATCCTTTCTAATAATTCCTAACTCAAATGGCCATTTGTAGCCAATCTAAACTTGCAGCACACACTACGAGATATCTCGTAGCTGGCAGTTTTGGTGCAGACGCTTACTACGAGATACAGGCAGCCCCCGACTTTCGCACAATTCGCTATTTCGCACATTTTTGATTTCTGATGCAGGACCCGCCTTGCGCCGACCCTGCATCAGACTACAATGTTGTTCGGATCAAGAGGTCAAAACAGTTTCAGTCTTGTATTAGGGCGTGCGTCAACGTGTTGTGTGTTTTGCTAATTTATTTCTTTAACTTTAAATATTATGCCCTTATAAATTGATAAACATGAGTCAGAAACGGAAAAACTGCAGTGTCGATACGAACAAAAAGAAATTAAGGACTCGTAAACTTCATACGATCGAGACAAAGATGGAAATAATTAAACGTTCTGAAAACGTTGAATCTTTCGCTTCAATCGGACGTTTGTACGGTGTAAACAGATCTACGATATGTTCAATTTTGAAAAATAAGAATAAAATTAAGGAATACGTTCAAAATTGTGGAAATATATCTTCAAAAATTGTTTCCAAAAGACACGGCATAGCGATGGTTGAAATGGAAAAATCTTTGTCATCATGGATTGATGATCAACATCAAAATAATGTCCCTCTGAGTTTTTCAATTATTCAAGCTAAGGCTCTTAGTTTGCATGAAGATTGGAAGACTTCATTGAATTAAATGAAGATTCTAACACGGTGTTTCAAGCAAGTAATGGCTGGTTTGACAAATTTAAAATGAGATATTCTTTACATAATATTAAATTCACTGGAGAATCGGCCGATGCAGATAAAGATGCTGCGAAAGAATTTATTTCCTCGTTGTCCAAAATTATTGAAGATGGAGAATAGTCTCCTAGTCAAATATTCAATGTAGATGAGACGGGTTTGTTTTGGAAAAACATGCCTAATCGTACATTTTTATCGAAGGAAGAATCAGTTGCCCATGGACATAAGCCTTCCAAAAACCGATTGACATTACTTCTTGGTGGAAACTTAGCTGGTGATTTCAAATTGAAGCCATTGTTAGTTTACCAAGCAGAAAATCCCAGAGCATTGAAAGGGAAAGATAAAGAATTGCTTCCGGTCATTTGGAAATCAAATAAAAATACCTGGGTTACTGCGTTAATATTTAAAGATTGGTTCACTCATCATTTCGTGTCGACAGTTAAACAATATTGTAAAAATAATAATTTACAATTTAAAGCATTATTAATCTTAGACAATGTTCCAGGATACCCAAAATCTCTGCAGAATTTATACCCGGAAATCAATGTTGTGTTTCTTCCTCCCAATACTACCTGCCTCATACAGCCCATGGACCAAACAGTGATAGCTACGTTTAAACGATATTATATGAGGACAATAATGACTAAGACCATCAAGGCAATTGACAGGCAAGATGGATCAACATTAATAGATTTTTCGAAGAATTATAATATATGGAACGCAATAAATAATATTGAAGACTCGTGGGCTGAAATAAAAGAGTCGACAATGAAAGGTTCCTGGAAACAATTATGCCCAGAAATGATGAGCGATTTTATAAATTTTGAAGAAACACCGGAAACTCTCACGGATGAAATAGTTAGCGTAACGAATGAACTAAACTTGGATGTCAACAAAGAAGATGTTAATGAGTTGATTGAATCTCACTCAGCACCGCTGTCAAATGAATACTTAATTGAGCAACAATTGAGTAACAGTGAAATGCACAATGAAAGTGAGGAAGAGGAAGCTGATAAAAACGTCAAGACTTTGACAATTAAAAATATGAATGAAGCCTTCACGCATGTTGACAAATTTTTCACTATCATGGAAGAATGTGATCCTAATGGAGAACGTACATCTCAAGTACGTAGGGCAATTGAGAAAGACACAGCATGTTATACAAATCTTTATCAAGAAAAGAAAAAAAAGGGTGGTATTCAACTAACTCTTGACAAGTTTATAAAGGAAATACCCGAAAGCACTTAACACGCCTCTTTAACTTCATTATGTATACAAATTGATAAATAAATACTTTAAAACACAGGTTTTGGTGCATATTCTTTTACATCCCTCTACTTTCAAACATTCAACATTCGCACAGGCTTTCAGGAACCAATTATGCGCGAAAGTCGAGGGCCCACTGAGAGCTTCTCGAGCGTTCTATCGGCTCGGTGCCGGTTCCGTTTTACGAAGACACGAGGCAGTCGTGTTTTGTTCGTGGTAGGAACGAGCACGTGCTCTTCGGGTATTATAAAACTTTCTTTTGTTCCTTGCTACTTTTGTTATAAATAAGAACATTAATAAAACCACTATAATAAGGGGACATTGGCTGCCCTTTTTTTTATATCAATCATTTATCAAAAGTGAAAATGAAAATGTTCAATAGAGTATAAGAGGTGGTAACAGAGAACCTTTTGAATTTTCTGCCAATGCTGGACATCAATTCATCATACCAAGATCATCCAGACATAAGTCTTTATTTTATACGGAAAAATATTTAGATAACGATCTGTTCAACATAGTTGAACAGACAAATTTATGCGCTCAACAATTCTTACAAAGCCACCCTAATTTGAAACCGCAATCAAGAATGAAAAAATGGAACCCCATAAATCATAATGAAATAAGATGTTTTATTGCATTATTAATTTTATAAGGCATTATGAGAAAAACCATTTTTACAGATGTACTTTTCTACAAAAGAAAGTATTAGTATTCCTTTCTTTGGTAAAATAATTAATTCAAATAGATTTTTACTGGTATGTAAAAATATTCTTCATTTCGAAGACAATACAAGTTTGATAATATAAATCCATCTACTAAAATTGCGGACTTGGTTAGAGAGCGTGTGTAGCGTAGTGTGAGTTTTTGAGTGTGTAGATTTGAAAAGAAAGTTAAAAAAAGAAATGGGTTTCTACCGATGGGAAAATGGTAACGACTGACATTGTATAGTTAAATACAAAATATAGATTAAACGCGATAGTACAGGCGATAAAGAAAAGAACAAAAAAGTGAGGTTAGGTTTGTATATGTGGATAGATAGGATAATTATAAGTATTGAAAATGCAAAAAGAATAGAGGTAACATATACAAAGGTATCTTCAATTTATAATAATAGATAAAGAGTAAGTAAAAGTTAGAAATAAGGAAATTTACTAAGTTAACATAGTGTAGATTATATTGTGTTAAAAGGGTATAGAAGTATTAGGTTAACAAAGCATAGATTATAGGTTAAAAATAGAGAAATAGAAAATGGGCAAAGAAGAATACAAGAATCTGAAGGAAAGAGGGAAGGAAGAAGTACCAAGCACACCAGGAACAAAGAAAAAAAAAAAGGGGGAAGACCGTTTGCAGATATAGAGAAAGTTTAACCAATAGGAATAACCGTTTGAGTCCCAGAGGGTCACTTCGATACTATGGATTTCTTCGCTCTAGTCTCCTCTAATATGTTCTGCTTTGCTGTGAGGAATCTGTCTGGAAAATTCAATTTTATTGACATTTTCGACTAATATCGTGGTGAGCTAACTTTCTTGAATGAATAAGGGGGAAAGATTCTATTGGCGTGCTATAGCCATTGCAATGCCATAGAATCTGGCTGTTTGAAAAAACACTGCCGAAGAATCCCAAGTAGCGCGATAGCGCTTCTTCTATTATATGTCGAAAAATCCCAAACAGCGCGATAGCGCTTCTTCTATTATATGTCGAAAAATCCCAAACAGCGCAATAGCGCTTCGTTTATTTTATGTCGATAAATGCCAAGTGGCACGATAGCGCGGTGACGAACCGACTGTCGAAGTCGCGCGCTCAGATTTACCGACGCAAGTACATCACACAGCTCTTTCTCTTAATGTAAATAATACATTTTACAATAGGTACAATACTATAATAATAGTGAAATAATACATTTTGTATTTCACTGTTATCTTCTGAATCATTTTTATCGAACAAAACTTGAAATATTTATAAGCTTACAGTACGCATATGTAATAATACAGATGTATTTCATAAAATAAGGAATTACAAATTAAAAATATTTCTGTGTTATGAACAAACAATTTAAATGGAGAGTAACACTTATAATTTGTAACATCGGTGTTTATCAAAACATGTTGGATGAACTCCTTTTTTACATTGCACACAAATTAAATGTGATCTTTTTATTGCATTTTTGGTGCTGCAGACTACGCATTGTCGCAAGTTACGTTGTGGCAACTTTACTAAACCAAATTTTTTTTCCTTTACATAACTACGTGCTTTCTTTTCCTTCATCCACTCACATTCAATTTCAAAGATAATATTCGAAATAAAATCTAACCGAGTCATTGTTTTACTCTTAACTCTTTCCTTGTAGATTATATATGCATTTAAAACCATGCGGCTGATTATGTTAAAGGCTACCTTTTTCCAACATTTAACTGATCTTCGATCATTGAGACAGGTATACAGCATTTTATCCGATTCATCGATACCACCCATGAAGGCATTGTAAGATTGAATAATAGCGGGTTTTATCAAACGTATTTCTCTGCCATGTCGATTTTTTGTTATAGTCACATTTCGCTCTTCTGTTTTTGTTGAAATTAATAATACAGGATTTTTTACACTTTTTTCTTCGCGATACGCACAGAACAATACTTCGTTGTCTCGAAAATATTTTACCTTATTTACATTAGCTTCTTTCAAAGTATCGGGAATACATTCCTTATTTCTTCTAATAATTCCAGTTAAATAGGTATCCATAGAATATAAATATCTAGCTAATTCAACGCTAGTAAAAAAGTTATCGACAAAAATGTGATGCCCCTTATTCAAACAATTACTATCTTTTAATAAATTTATCACAACATCATATCCAAGTCCAAACTTTTCTGTATCACTAGTAGTTGTCTCTTTTGCACCTTTATCACAAGAGAACATCAAACAATATTTTGAAACTGAATCACATAGCATCCATAATTTTATCCCCCAACGATGATGTTTTTTATTTGGCAAGTATTGCGTTTTGCTAGAATGACACAGCGTCCCAACTAACGACTCATCAATTGATAATTCTTTATGTGGTTTATAATGTAATTTGAATACTCTGTTAGCGTGTTCAACGAGTGGCTTAAATTTTGCACAGGGATCGTATTTCTCGTGACTAGGTGGAAAACATAAAGAGTTATCAATTAAATGAAAATATTTCAAAATTTGTTGAAATCTATTTCGAGAGAACATTCTTCGGAACCACGGTATGTTACGTGAATTTTCGGACCAATACGAACGTATATTGGGTCTTTGTGTAATTCTCATTTCCAGCAGCACTGCTATAAACGCCTTCATCTCTAACACGGTAACTGGTGTCCAAATCTCTGTTTCAAAAATTTCAAATTCTCTAGGTAGTCTTGAATAATCTGCATGTTTATTGGTTTCTTCAACTATTAGTGACCATAGTGTCGAATCAAAGAATAGTTCAAAGTATTCGATGGGTTTACTCTGGCTAGAGAAGTTACATTGCGAACCAGATTCTTCGCTATGCTCGAGAGGATCACGTTGAGTAGAAACGTCTTCAGCAATTTGTAGACTGTCCAGTGAAGATTGATACGATAAATCACTATCACTATCCTCCGAAGTACTCAAAATGCGTTGTCTTTTGCCTTTTTCAGGAACAATGCAGTTGTCATCTTCTTCAATAACACGATCACATGGATTCGCGATTATGCTCACAGATTTTCTTTTTCGATCCATTGTACCTTTTTGGGGATACACCAAATTTAGAAAGGTTAACCAGTAAATCTAGATTAATTTTCTACTTACTTTTTGCGTTGCTTCGTCTAATCATTTTGAATCGCACAATTATTAGCACTGAGAAACACTTATGGAAGCATACGTCCGATCACTTTGCCAACTGTAATAAATGTGACGGAGCGATGTGAAAAAGACGAGAATCACTTTACCTAACACATCTTATATCTAGAAAAAATAAAATACAAGAAGCGCTATCGCGCCAATTGGGATTCATCGACATAAAATAAACGAAGCGCTATCGCGCTGTTTGGGATTTATCGACATAAAATAAAAGAAGCGCTATCGTGCTGCTTGGGTCTTGTACTCATTTAGAGAAAGCGCGATTGCGCTGTTCGGAAATATCGACAGTGTTTTTTCAATCCCCCCTGGGACTCAAACAGTTAAAGAGGAATGGAAAGGAATAGAGGAAACCAAGGAAATAGAAGGTCTGGTAGGAAGCAAAGTTAAAATAGAAGAGGAAATATGGAACATATATATAATCTATTCTAACAGAGAACTAGGAAGACTGGCAGAAGTATTAGATGAGAAACTAGGACAGATAAAAGGAAAAATAATAATGACTGGAGGCGATTTCAATGCGAGAATAGGAAGGAAGGGAAAACTTTACAACAGGTTAATGGAGGAAGAGCAGAGTAAAAGGAATTCAAAAAACAAGGTGGTGAACAGTGAAGGAGAAATAATGTTGAAAATGGTGGCAGAACAGGATTGGCACATGCTTAATGGCAATATACAAGGAGATGAAAAAGGAGAACATACCTTTATAGAGAAACAGGGGGAGTTGAGTTGGTTACCAACTATGTGGTAACAAATACAGTAGGCACAGATAGAGTAGTAAATTTCAGCGTAGGGGAAAGAGACAACCACCAACCCCTGATTGCAACAGTGAAGACAAAAGCAGAAAGCTGCAAGGAGGAAAACGAGAGGCAAGTAAAGGTAGTGAGTTGGAAGTCGGAAGATATAAAAAAGTATAAGGAGACTATGGAAGTTCAAATATTCAAGGAAGAGGAAGATGTAAACAAGATCTGAGAAAATCTCAAGAGAGCTATAAAGGAAGCCATGGAGGTAAAAAGCATAATGATAAAGAGATGGAAAATAGGGAAGAAATACTGATGGGATAGGGAATATAGCGGGGAGAAGAGGAAAGTAAGAAGATGGTACAGAAAGTGGAGACAGGGAAAAATAACGAGGAAGGAGTACCTACAAAAGAAGAAGGATTTTAAGAAATTTTGCAAGAACAAGGAAGAATACAGAAAGAGAAAGGAGCAAGAGAAAATGAAAAAGGCGAGAACAGAGAAGGAAATTTAGAATTACATTAACAAAGAAAGGAAGAGGAAGAAGGGTAACGAAAACAAAATCAAAATAGAAACATGGAAAAGCCTTTTTAAGGTGTTACTGAAAGGAGTAGACATAAAAATAGTAAGAGAAGAGCGAGAGCATCTACCTAAAGGTGGAGGAATACATATCAAACGTATCAGATAGGGAAATAGAAAAACATTTAAGGAGATTGAAAAAAAGGAAAGCTACAGGGGACGACAAAATATCAAATGAGGCATGGATATTCAATGAAGAATAAATGAAGAAATAAAGAAAGTTTGGGAGGGGAAAGGTTTCCCGAAAGAATGGAGGATTACTACATTACATAAGAAAGGAGATGCAGAAAATCCAAGAAATTATAGAGGAATAAGCTTACTCTGCAGTGTATAAAATATATGCGGCAATATTAAATGAAAGGTTGAGAAACGAAATAGAGACAAAAAGAATACTCCTGGAATCACAGGCTGGTTTCCGGCAACATAGAAGAATGTTAGACAATTGTTACATACTGCAGCATATTGTGGAAAGGGAAGCCCTGAAAAAGAAAGGGAAGGTGTACGCAATGTTTGTAGACCTAAAAGCAGCTTTCGATACGGTTAATATAGAGAAACTGTAGAGGGACATGGAAAAGAGCAGTATAGAGAAAGGATTAATAGAGAGGGTTAAAGGTATATATGAAGAAAGGAGGAATGTCATAAGGGTGAATGAAGAAGAATCAGAGGAATTTTGGACAGGAGTCGGATTGCGGCATGGGTGCCCACTAAGCCCGACGCTGTTTACGATATACATAGCTGAGATGGAAGAGGAGTGGCTAAAGGGCAAGTGGGAGGCGGAGTTAAAGTAGGAAGGGAAAGATTTTATTCCTTGACTTATGCAGATGACATGGTCATATTAGAAACCAGGGAAGACGAATTAAGATCAATGATGAAGCTCAGGAGTTATTTAGATAAAAAAGAATTAACACTGAATGTGCACAAATCGAAAATAATGATATTCGGAAAGGGTAAAATCAGGACAAAGGGCCAGAAATGGAAATGGGAAGGAAATGAGATAGAAATAGTAAAAGAATTTAGTTACTTGGTAATAATCTTTCAGAGGAATGGGAATATGGTTAGGCATATAGAGGACAGAATTAAAAGAGCAAGTGTAGTATCAAATCAGGTATGGGGTATAGGAGAACGCATATTCAAATCAGATTACAAACTGAGAATGTTTATGTGGGATAGTCTGGTAGCAGGGGTGTTATTATATAGGGCAGAACTTTAGGGGTTCAAAGAAAGGGCAGAAGTAGAAAGGTTACAAGTTAAATATATTAAATGGAAACTGGGCCTAGACATACGAACACCAGAATATATAGTTCTAGAAGAAACAAAGAAAGTGAGAATAAGAGTGAGGGCTGAACAAAGTGCATTAAGTTTCGAAAAAGAAGTAAGGGATGGAGTAGGGAGAGAATTAGTGAAGGTATGTTTAAAGGAAAAAGAGGAGCATAGGCAGAGGACGAGGAGTATGGAGGAAAGGGAAGATTAATTAATACGAAATGGGGTAAGTAAACTCGGATTGGAACAAGAAAGAAGGAACAGCAGAAGCGAGAAGGAAATAATAGAGAATCTGGAAAAACGAGACACAGAAAGACAGGGTCAAGTGCAATATGGCAAAATTCAAAGGTCCCGTTAGAATGAAAGGTACAAATATATTTTCACAACGGGCCTGCCGGAATATCTAGGGAAAGAAAGGAAACGGTGAAAGCAAGCAGCTAATAGCTCAAGCTAGATGCGGCAGCTTTGAAAGTTGGAACTGTTATTAAGAGGAAGAAGAAAAAAGGAAGTGTAAACTCTACAAAGACGCCCCAGGAACACTGCAGCATCTGATGAGAAACTATAGAATGACGGATAGAGAAGTCAGAATAGAGGATATTCTGAGTGGCAGAAAGGATAAGAAAGTGGAGAATTGGCTAAGGAAGGTGAAATGGAAAAAGAAAATAGTTAGGGAGGGCAGAACTTAATCCCCCCCCCCCCCCCAAAAAAGAAAAAAGTTACAAAATGGTACTAAAGAAATGGCGGCAATATGAGGTAGTTCTTTTAGGTTAGGCAATTAGAGCATAAGATAAGCGTTAAATAAGATTAGGATAAAAATTAGGATAATAAATATAGTATAGTGTAGGAAAGAGAAGAGGGATGAGCGAGAGAAGTGAGTGTGTGAGGTTAAGAAATAAATAATGTAAACCAAGTCCACTTTTCTTGGCTGCGAAGACGAAAAAAATAAAGATCTATCTAATATTTTTGTCATTTAATAATTACACGTGACTTTAATTAATTTATATTACAACAACATCTATGAAAATTCATTAGTTTTACCAATATGTATTGGTATTAACACAGTTTCTTCATAATTATTCATAATATCATATATCAAATAAAAATTCAAATACTTCAAGTTTCAAATAAGTCAAGTTTATTAAATATCTAGATATTTTAATATTTTGAGTTTAAACTAAATGGTCTCATATACTTTATTTTATATAATGATTCATATTTTAAAATGCATAAACGTAATATCATAATCAAGTGAAAATTCAAACATTTGAAGTAAAGTCTATTAAATATCTAGATATTTTAATATTTTGAATTTAAACTAAATGGTCCCATACTCTTTATTTTATATAGTAATTCATATTTTAAAATGCATCCTTTCCAAAATTATACTACTACTTGCAGTAATTTTAATAAAGTAAATTCATGTTATCTTACCTTGCATACGTATTGCGCATATTGACATCTTTATATTCTTTCCAATTCCAACCCCCTATGTTTTTTCCTTTTAACTGTTGTTCAGACTTTTCCTTTAGTAATCTGCAATAAAAATTTAAGTTAGTAAAGTTCTGTTTTTAACAATTCTTTATCATTCAGTTCTATTATCACATTTTTTTTTATTATTTCTTGATATAATTTCATTATTTTTATCTAATATAGATTAATATATAACTTAAGTTCAAATAGTATATATTCTATCTTCTGATCAATAATAATTAAAATATATGCATTAACCTTTATTACTATTTTATTATGTTACCATTTACAAAATTCATTTCTTTATAACTATATTCTTTCATAGATTTATACTTTTATCTTTATCAAAACTATACTGTACTCCTATTGTTAAAACATGTTTTATATTTATGCTTTTATACTTTTCTTGTTATTATTTTCGTTTTATATTCTCTTACTATTCATAATTCATCCTACATATTAATGGTACATATAAAATTTATATAAAAGTTTAATAGACCTTATAATAGTATTATAATTAATATGTTAGAATTAATCTCAATCAATATTTTCAACAATTTGTCTACAATTTATAAGATTTGATGTAGATGTTCTTTTGTATTATTATTACTTATGTGAGAACCAGAGTATTCATAAAAGACAACCTATCAAAGAAAGAGAGAGAAATACAAAGAGGTTTGAAACGGATAGCAAGGGAGGAGAGAGAAAAAGCAAAGATAGCGATAGTGAGATAAAGGCAGTCTTTGATAAGGTGGACAGGAAGAAGCTATGGGAAGTGATGGGTGAAGAAGGTATTTTGTAGTAGAATGATCGGTAAAGTTATGAAAATCTATGATGAAA